CTACAATGACATGCTATTTTGTTGCATTTAGCAAAATGTAATAAAATAAAAACATGTTTTCGCTGTTGACGAACCGAGCTTACGGTTGAAAGTTTAAAAAATTAACATTTATTTTAATTGTTTTATATAGTAATCCACCAATGATACCGTTGAACCGTCTTTGAGAAGTCTTTTCCACTAGGATTTCTGAGGTACGTAGTCTCCATACTTGCCTCACCAAAGCAAAATGGAGTTAGTAGGCTTATATAAACAGAGGTGGGAAAAGTTTTGGAACCTGAGAACGTATATTTCCCAGAAATTGTTTTGGAACCTTTAGTTGTGCAGAAATGCAGTCGATTGACAAATATCTATACAGGTGCATCAGAATTGGGCTAACAAGCCTCGCAGACAAGTAATTTATAGGGCTTTGCTGACAGAATACTAGTTTTCATCCGAAAAAGACTAGACTTATTCTTACTAGTTTTAGCCATGCAATATTCTGCTCATATATTTGAAAATTACTTCTACAATGTGCAGGGCAAGAATTTCATGAAATATTCAGAAATTGAACACTAAGTTTTAAACCATCAAAACAGGTTCCGAGAGAACGAAACATTTTTTCCACCTCTGTTTGCGTGTTAAATTTGATACACACGACCAACCTATCACCACTTCCTTGCCAGTTTGCAAATCTTGCAACGTAGTGTACAGCGCGTATCTTTGGTTATGCCTATTGGCATCTTTCAACTGGTTCTCGGCGTCGCCAAGTTCACCAAGTAGCTCAGCGAAGCCATACACGTCCGAGCTTTTCATGTAGAACTTGGCTCTTTTATAGAAGGTCGCCACGCCATGCAAGCTATCGTGTTGTTTATAGACGCCGTGATAGCCGAGGCTGTCGAGCTCCACCAACAAGTGTGGGAAATAGAATGGGTCGACTTCTTGTAGGCACACTATATCGCCGTCCAGCCAACTCAACTGAAATGCAGCATAAAATATAAACGGGTTCATCCTAAACGGGGGGTGTTCCGTTTGTAAACTTGGGACACCATTAGGATGAATTTGAACTGTAATATCTGAGTTGGCAATTAGAATACCCACCCCCCTGGAAATATCTATTTCCCAGGGGGTTGAATATAATTTGATTAATTTCATACCATTGACATATTTACACATTGACATCTGATATAATTCTGGCAAGACAGTCAAGAAAATTTTGTAAAATGTGATTGGCCTTCACAAATTTTCCGTCGGAAAAAAGTTTTTGAAGTTGAAGATTTTCAACTTTTAACAATGATATTTGATATCCACAAACTACGTCACAAGGCAGAGTTTTTAAAAAGGACTATTCTGGTACCCAGGGTTTTTTCCCAGGATTTTCTCTTGGGTCCGTTTTTGCAGAGAAGATTGAGTTTAGCTGAACAGCTGGGGTGGCTGCACCCCCTCCCTCTACCGGGGGGCTGACACCTGTACTCAATAAATGTAGTTGAGACGGAATGTGTTAAAGCAGGGGCACTAAGGGACACTATAAACTGGTTAAAGATGGCGAATGCATATTTTTTCTTGTGTTGTGAGATGAATTCCAGCCATTTTTTCTTAATTGTCGGGTTTCCAACTGAAAACTAATTTCCACACGTCACGAAATTTAACTCAAACAACTTCATTTTTACTGCACTGAAACTTTGGTGAGAAGATTGAGTTTCAAAACTCAATTCAAGATTGAGTTTTTGGGGCCGTTTAACGGCCCTAAAAAATCCCTGAAAAAAACCCTGGGTACCCTGGGTAAAATGAAAATGTATAAATTGCAGACCCTGCCTAGATACTTCATTTGGGCGAGACTTTTTTTATTCATTGGTTTACGGATCCGCCAACCGTAAATATTCAGGAAGTGAAAAATAAAAAAAAATTTGGATGTCAAAACTTTTACAATTTTAGTTAATTTTAATTAATTTAGAGTTCTGACATGAAGTACACTTGCGTTTTGCTTTTTTTTTTAAATTGACATGAAAAAATTTTATAAAGATTATTAATTTCGGTTCTCATTTATACTCAGTTCGTTGTTTTTTTAAAATTTTTTCCCGACCTACCGTCCTCTTGAGATAAAGCATATTTTGTGACAGTTTTGTTAAAATTTGAACCAGTTAAATGTATGATATTCGCAGACACAATTTACAATTTGGGGAATTTTTGCACGAGTGTTTAACCTATATTATAAAAGGCAATTTAAAAAAAAATGATAGCCAAGAATATTTGTAAGATTGCTTGGATATTAATTTCAGTCTTTGATTTTAATCACTAACTACAAACATATATAGTCAAATTGAGGAGACACTGAACAGATTTTAAAACATATTTCCATATATTCAAACACTTGAATATTTCAAATATTCAAGTGTTTGTTGATGGGGGGTATATTTACATGTAAAATTTTCAAAATTAAAAAAATCGATGAGATTTTCGAAATTTTCGAATATCTCAAAACTTTCACATAGGTTTTAAGTATTTGTTTTAAAAGCTGGGCATAAAACGGACAACTCGTGTAACATTTATAGAACTAAAAGAACATCGAGATTTTGAGTTGGGTGTGTTTAATAGGCGTGTATAAAACACATATAAAAGTAAACAAAGTTCATTGCGTAATATATAAATCTCGATATAAATTATAGCCGAAGTATTTCAAAACAATTCCCGCACGGCTTTTTACAAGGACTAGCATTTATAAACCGTATATAAGTAAAAATTACAGTTAAATTTAAATATCTCCAACTGAAATTCGTGTTAGATTCGCTACAAATATTTATAATGACCGGAAATTCTCCTACGCCAAATTTATACACACGACATGAATCAGATGAATGTAACCGGTATTCGTTAAACAGCTGGCAAAAATCATGACATTTCATTGGCATTTTAACAAATATCGCTTTAGTCTTACCTCTTTTATAAGCTGGATATGTCTTGGAGCAATAGACGGGTCAGGCCCTCGATATTTTATAGATTCATCCGTAATGTAAGGGTATTTTGCGGAGCCTTTGTGAAAAACACCGTCGCACAGGATGTTATAAGCTACAAGCGAAAATTCGTTGTCTTTCGGCGAAGGAGCAGCAATTCGTTTGAGTTTCCTTTGAAATAACGCTTCGGTGTCGACCATGTTTATAAAACTCGTCTTGTTTTGCTCTGAGTTTGGCTTTTACTGGTATATTTAATACTTCGTAGTACCGTCCCAAGGGAGTTCAACAATGTTTCGATTTTGACCTTGGCTTTTATGTAAGCGTGGGCGTCCCGCGCGTAGCCCACGTTCTATAATTAACACGTGCTGTTCATGATACATACGCGTGATAATAGCATGATTGAACACGTGAAGCATTGTGAGAATGCACGTGCCATGAACTTTTCTCAGGAAAGAATGCAAAAACTCATATCTACACACGCAAAAATCTCACATCTTGTAACAAGTTTGTCAACAAGTTGTCTTCGCACTGCTTGTCACAAGTTGTCGTCAACAAGTTTGGAACAAGCTGTTAACAATTTGTATAACAACCGTGTTGATATTATCAGGCTTCTTACAAAGTTGTTCCAACAAGTCCGATCAGCCGCCGAGAGGTTGGCGGGGGCCCGGGGCAATTTTTTTTTAGGGGCCCCTATTTAAAAATTTTACCGGACGAGTACGTTGCAATTACTTTCCAGGGACTTTATCTCAATTTTTCATGCCAAATTTCGGTACTTAGCCCAAAAAAACAGATATCTTGTCCTTTGCGCTGAAATATTTAACACACAAAAAAGACTGGGGCCCAACAAAAAAAATTCAGGGCCCCCAGCACCTCGGACCCCCCCCCCTGCCCCCC